AAATTAGACCTATTAGGAGTTTAGTATCTTTATAATGTCTTATATGACGAATGCACGATCGTTGAAGGTGAATTTGGTCGAAAAACAACCATAACGAATATATAGTCGTTATTTCAATGTTATAACGAATAGACATTCGTTATAACTGTTTCCCGTAACAAAATGCGCTTTCTTTCTGATTTTTTCGATCGATTTACTTGATAACGCATGTATATTCATGTTACATGTCATTGGAACGATAGTTTGAAGTTGTTAGATCGTCGAAACACTCACAACAAGTTTAATATAATACATAGTGTATATTATATAATATATATATATATATATTGTAGTATATAGTTTATAACATATAGTATAAAGTTTATATAACATATAGTATATAGTATATGTTATAACATACTATTATATAACATATAATATATAACATATAATATATAACAAATAACATATAATATATAACATATAATTTTACTTTAATTTTTGTACTATATAACATATAATATATAACATTATAATTGACTTCAATTGTACTAGTTTGACTTTAATTGGAATAATTCGAGTTCGATTACATTATAATTGACAGAGAATGTACTAATTTGACATTAATTGAACTAATTCAAGTTCGATTACATTATAATTGATTGAGAATGTACTAATTTGACTTCAATTAGACTAATTTGAGTTCGATTACATTATGATTGACTTCAATTGTACTAATTTGACTTTAATTGGACTAATTCAAGTTCAATTAAATTATAATTGACTTCAATTATACTAATTTGACTTTAATTCGGCTAATTCGAGTTTGATTACATTATAATTGACCAGGATTGTACTAATTTGACTTTAATTGAACTAATTCGAGTTTGATTCCATTGTAATTGACTTCACTAATTTGACTTTAATGGGACTAATTCGAGTTTGATTACATTATAATTGACCGAGAATGTACTAATTTGACTTCAATTAGATTAATTCGAGTTCGATTACATTATAATTGACCGATATGGTACTAATTTGACTTTAATTAGACTAATCCGAGTTCGATTACATTATAATTGATCGAGAATGTACTAATTTGACTTCAATTAGATTAATTCGAGTTCGATTACATTGTAATTGACCGAGATTGTACTAATTTGACTTTAATTAGACTGATTTGAGTTCGATTACATTATAATTGACTTCGATTGTACTAATTTGACTTTAATTGGACTAATTCGAGTTCGATTACATTATAATTGACCGAGATTGTACTAATTTGACTTCAATTGGATTAATTCGAGTTTGATTACACTATAATTGACCGAGATTGTACTAATTTGACTTCAATTGGACTAATTCGAGTTCGATTACAATATAATTGACCGAGATTGTACTAATTTGACTTCGATTGGACTAATTCGTGTCCAATTGTACTAATTTGACTTCAATTGTAATAATTTGACTTCAATTGTACTAATTTGACTTCAATTGGACTTATTCGAGTTTGATTTCACTATAATTGACCGAGATTGTACTAATTTGCTTCAATTGGACTAATTCGAGTTCGATTACAATATAATTGACAGAGATTGTACTAATTTGACTTCAATTGTACTAATTGGACCTCAATTGGACTAATTAGAGTTCGATTACAATATAATTGACAGAGATTGTACTAATTTGACTCAATTGCACTAATTGGACTTCAATTGTAGCAATTCGAGTTCGATTACAATATAATTGTCTGATATTGTACTAATTGGATCTCAATTGTACTAATTCGAGTTCGATTACACTATAATTGACCGAGATTGTAGTAATTTGACTTCAATTGTACTAATTTGACTTCAATTGGACTAATTCGAGTTCGATTACAATATAATTGTCCGAGATTGTACTAATTGAACTAACTAGAGTTCGATTACAATATAAATGACCGAGATTGCACAAATTTGACTTCAATTGTACTAATTTGACGTCAATTGCACTAATTCGAATTCGATTACATTATAATTGACCGAGGATGTACTAATTTGACTTCAATTGCACTATTTTGACTTCAATTATACTAATTTGACTTCAATTGGACTAATTCGAGTTCGATTACAATATAATTGTCCGATATTGTACTAATTGGACTAATTAGAGTTCGACTACAACATAATTGACAGAGATTGTACTAATTTGACTTCAATTGTACTAATTTGACTTCAATTAGAGTAATTCAAGTTCAATACAAAATAAACAGATTTTCAAAACAGATTTTTATTAAAAACGAATTTTGAATAAAAAAATGTTTTTTATTAAATAAAAATAAAAAATAATTTTTTTATTTTTTTTTAAAAAAACGGATTTTTTAAATAAAAATAAATTTTATTTCAAAAAAATTAAATAAAAAATTTTTTTATTAAAAATAATATTTTATACAAAAAAATTAAATAAAAAATATTTTTTATTTAATAAAAATAAAAATAAAAGTTTTAAAAAAAATAAAAAATATTTTTTTAAAAAAAATATTTTATTTTTTAAAAACGGATTTTTTTTTATTTTTTTTAAAAATAAAGTTTTATGCAAAAAAATGAAATAAAAATATTTTTTTATTAAAAAATAATTATTTATACAATTTCTTTTTAAAAAAATTATTAAAAATATTTTTTTTTTACAAAAAGAATTTAAATAAAAAATATTTTTTTTTATTAAATAAAAATAAAAGTTTTTTTAAAAAATAATTTTTTTTTTTTTTCAAAATAACGACTGTAGATTCGTTATACCATACAAAATAACGATTGTACAATCGTTATATTGAAACGACTGTATGTCGCGACCGTGACAGGTGTCGCGGTAGCGACACTGGGCCCTGTTGGTTGGACAGAGAATGTTGCCAGGACGTCGTCGCGGCCGCGACAAGCAAGTTTTTTTTTTTTAAAAAAAAATATCGTGTTAAATCTTTTTAGATTCTTTATTTTACATGAAAATTGGCTAAAATTACACCGACAACGAGCTTAATATAAATGTGTACCAATAATGATTGAGGTGTCGATTAAGGTGGAATTGGTCGAAAAACAACTATAACGATTATATATTCGTTTTTCACTTAAAAAACGATTATACAATCGTTTTAGTTATTTTTCGGAACAAAACGCGATTTTTTTTTTGGATTTTTCGATCGAATTACTTGATAAGGCATGCATATTCATGATTCATGTCATTTGAACAATAGTTTGAAGGTGTTGGAGCGTCCAAACAATGACAATGGATCTCTTTTTTTAAAACACCAACACTTGTTCTTTATTTTTTTTTTTTTTTTGAAAA